AGTGACCCTTTCGTTAGTCAACGAAGAAATTCGCGAAAATGGTTACAACGATCTACTTTAGTATTCATCGGATTATCAAAATCGTTAACACCTTTGGGTTGGTGAGTGAGTGAGTTGGGACTCGTTCCACCTTGTGTAATATCGCAATTCAAAGCGGCTTGGAACAATTTCATCATATTTCAAGGAAATCATCCAAACGTCAAGGCAGAAATTATGGCCATTGTGTGGTAGCATGCTCAAGTCTCTAAGCAATCGTGGCAGTGTCATATTTTAACAAATGTCTCCCACTCAATATATACTGAGAGAATCAAATAAAGGAACACAGGAAATTTCAAGCGTTCCTTTATACTTTGATATTTTCCAGTTTTAATCACCAGCTTTGAATAGCGCTGTGGGAGGGAATGTGATAATGAATATAGGAACACTGCCATAAAGTGTCGTTTCCTTATTTGTTTCCCTCAGTATATATTTTCCCGTTAAATACTGGATATTCTTCATATCGTTTTTTTCATTTCCCTAAAATAAATACAAGACTATGGAAGAGTCTTGGACATAGTGGTCAGGGACACATGCATATGCATGAACTGACCTGAAGCACTGCACCGGGCCTATTGCCATACTTCAAATGACTGCGTGTGGCAACACCATCGTAAACCAACTGTACGTTGACACGGTAAAGTTCTTCGAGAAACCAGGGTAGGGTAATCCAGTGGTTAAAGCGTTCGCTCGTCCCTCCGAAGACCCGGGTTCGATTCCCCACATTTGTACAATGTTTGAAGCTCATTTCTGGTGTCCCCTGCCGTGATATTGTTGGAATATTGCTAAAAGTGGCATAAAACTAAACTCACTCTCTCACACTTCGCCAAACCGCTAAACATTCCACCAGAAATCTACCTATTATGAACTTGTTTTTATAATAATAAGAAAACCAGTTCAACTATAAGCTCACTATTAAACGTATATACCACCGTTAAGCTTTCAGAAAAGGTTTTAAAGGAACCACTCAGATGATGCCGCTATTGGATATTTTAAGCAAAGATATGGCAGATGTGTTTTAATTAAAGTGTTAAGCTGACTCTGTGTGTAGCGGAGACTTCTTGAAGTCTTTACTGTTAATTTAGAAGCCACACTGACGACAGCTTGTGTTTGTCCTTTTACAGAATTGATTCAAGATAATGTTTTAGAATGTGTTTACTTAATCAATTTTATCTTGAGTGGTTGTTGAGTCAGGACTTTAATATCCGGTTCTGTTGTTTTGTCTGCAAGTTATCGCAAAATGTTATCAAGTTGTAAAACCCGCCTGCACAGAGCTGGATATTCATTGGTAGCTGGCGTTGTTGTTCTTCTGTTCGTGCAAGATTAAAACCTTATTAGTCTAGAATATCCCAAAGTACTGTTATAGGAACGTGTAGGTTTGTATCTTGCGTCTTAATGCGTTAAATGTTGTGCGGAGTTGTGTCCCTTAGCGGCGCCAGGATCTGCTTGTTGTATGTTCGAACTCCAGTTTTGACCTGATTATGGTCCTTGGTTAGCCAGCACCAGATCCCTGACCAGCTGTTTCACCTTGTGCTTTTAATGCAGATTAAACTGACATTTCGTGTTGAAAGAAATACTGCCAGTACTCAAAGCTCCCTAATTAAGACCCCACTCTTCTCTGTGGATCCTACAGTTAGTCTTTGTCGTAAAACTATGTTGATAATAATTTGGATGTTACAACAATTTGCTACTACTACTACTACTACTACTACTACAACTACTACAACTACTACTACTACTACTACTACTACTACTACTACTACTACTACTACTTCTTAAGATTCTGGAAATGCATGAACAACGAATACCTAAAATAGCTTATACGTTGTAATATGCTTGTTCATCTCGATAACATGGGCAAGACAACTTGGGCTTCACATATTAGAAATCTTTTATTTTCTCATGGCTTTGGATTTGCATGGTTAAATCAGACAGTAAGTAATGTAACTCTAGGTAATGTAGCTGCTGACACTATTACAACTACTGCTACTACGACTGTTACTGCTACTATACATGTTGCTGCTACCACCGCTACTACTACTACTACTACTACTACTTCTACTACTACTACAACTCCTGCTGCTCCTTGGTACATGGAGTCCTACATAAACACAGACTATATGGGCATGCTACTATTTGTTTGTTGTGAACAGAAGTACATGCGCTGCATGCATAGCCCACCTGTTGACAACCAACACGAATGCATGGCTCTGCTGGTGTCTTTCAATACAGATTGTTTCCAGTGTGTACGTCCATGATACTGCTTCAATCCGCGAGTCCTTGACCACAAAGTAAACATTCATATTCATCTTTATGAGTCTATAGTATTTATTACAATGAAGCGCATGCGGGTTTGTCATTCCCATACGACGTCTGGTATGTATGTTTATGTTCGCCAAACATCGCCCGTATCCGTAACACGCGAGTGTAAGCAAGCGAAGCTGAGACTAGAACGGTCACGGGCGTAACTTGTAGAGCATTCCTACTTGAAGGTAAGTGTTAGAAATCGGGGTATTTTTGCACGTTCCCTATCGTGTTAGTCAGCCGTCTACTGTGGTTAGAGCGTCCAACGGAGAGATGACGGTCACCTCTGGACGCTGTCTACCAAATGACGTTAATTAAAGGATGGTACTTGTTATAACTCTGCCTTATGTTTCTTTGTAAGGGGATTAAACCGACCTAGTTAGTTCACTGTATATGATTGGAGTATTTATGGTACAAGAAGCCAATCTCACACGAATAGGCACACGCGCACACACACAGACGCACACACGCGCACATGCACGTGCATGCATTTCTCCAAATAAAATTGCAATAGAAAAAAGTCTTTAAAAGTGAAATGTAACAAATGGAGAAGAGCAGACAAGAAGGGAAATGAAGCCCTCAAGTTGAGTGCGTGAGTGATTTGTTATGACAAAGTATTTTGCAACGAGTCAGCTTAACATGGGAGAACAGACTTCTGTGATTTTGATCGTTTTCTGAAAAATAAATATACCAAATAACATTTGTACATAGGGAGAAGTTTTGAATCTTTCTTCTTAGAAATTAAAATCATTTAACAAGACGACTTATTCTAAATGCATGCAACTGCATGCATTCATGTTAGACTCATGCGAGCGGTGGGGTAGTCTAGTGGTTAAAGCGTTGGCTCGTCAAGCCGAAGACCCGGGTTCGAATCCCCATATGGGTACAACGTGTGAAGCCCATTTCTGGTGTCCCCCGCCGTGATGTTGCTGGAATATTGCTAAAAGCGGCTTAGCCAAACTCAGTCAGTCAGTTAGACACATGCTGGTATGCGACACTTGCTGGTATTCAGTGTAACACCTAGACTAGCATCTAGTCTCGGAAATAACGTATTTTACTTAACAAAAGTCCCAAAATTATAATCATAAAATATTATAAAAAGGAGCCGAGAGACTTTATTCATTTTCAGGACCTGTGCAAATCTAGACTTGCCACATAATCTAGACTTGCATGGGCTTTCTTGGATACATTTGTTTCAGGGTCTGTAACAGACTTTGTAACGCCCTAGCCCCATTCCGGTCGGTCCGACGGTCAACCTGACCATACGTTAAGGTCATCTGACACTGACCAGCGTGACCATACCTCGAACAGTACACCAGGCGGCTATAAATAGGTTTTGTATCATTCACGCCGACATGCCTTGGATATGGAATGTAGGGACATGCTTACGGGGCGTGTTTTTGTCATGCTAACTTGGCGTGACCTGGCGGTGTGACTTTGCATGTTTGACGAAAATGGCGATGACAAATAGCATTGTCATTCACTATTGAACTGGGTAATCGGTCTGGTGTGTTTGGTTATAACACGAGCCGACGTATACTGTATAGAAACTCACTTAATAGTACATGGCGGGATTTCGAAATCATCACTCTATTTCTTTCTTTTTATAGTTTACGTATATTTGTTGTTTGGTGTGGTCTTAGTTTGGTTGTGTAGTTGTTTATTAAAGGTTTTACGTTAACTGTTAAACAGAAATTATCAGCATTATGGATAGAACGATAATTTATACTAGGTACATGAACAAATACCTTTTGTTCATAGTAAGGCTCATGCTTGAGGCATTCAGAAATGATAGCCCAAGGACCAGCCTGATCAGACCACGATCGAGATTAATGTCCCGATACAGTAGATTAAATAACTGTGTGCGGTAATGTTGAATACACAAAATAAAGATTAGGCAGGTCATTGAACTGAATCTTGGAATCCTATCTGAATCTTGAATCCAATGTGACACTTACTTAAAATCTATCCGACCTTGCCAGTGAGTGAGTTTAGTTTTACGCCGCACTCAGCAATATTCCAGCTATATGGTGGCGGTATGTAAATAATTAAGTCTGGAACAGACAATCCAGTGATCAAAATCATGAGCATCGATCTACGCAATTGGGAACCGATGACACGTGTCAACCAAGTCAGCGAGCCTGACCACCCAATCCCGTTAGTCGCCTCTAACGATAAGCATGGGTTACTGAAGATCAATTCTAACCCGGATCTTCACTGGTGACGACCTTGCCATAATCCTGTGTGACACTATACTGAATCATATCTAAGACTTACATTATCTGCAATTTTATCTAACAGAAACTTAAATGCTATCTGTTCGGTATCTTGAATCGTATTTGACAGCATATACCTTGAGTTCTATGCGTGACTCCAATATGACCATGTCTTGAATCCCACATGGATTCCATCTGACGGTTCGGGCGGTGGGGTAGCATAGTGGTTAAGGCGTTAGTTCGTCACGCTGAAGACCCTGGTTCGATTCCCCACATGCGTACAATGTGTGAAGCCCATTTCTGGTGACCTCCGCCGTGCTATTGCTGGAATAGTGCTAAAAGCGGCGTAAATATAAACTCACTCACTCACTCCATCAACGGTACTTCGAACCAAGGTACCAGTACCTTGAATCCTTTCCGACAGGTACGTTGGGTCCCTTCTAACAGTAGGGGCGGTTTGGTAGCCTAGTGGTTAAAGCGTTCGCTCGTCACGCCGAAGACCCTGGTTCGATTCCCCACATGCCGGGTACAATGTGTGAAGCCCATTTCTGGTGTCCCACGCTGTAATATTGCTGGAATATTGCTAAACGCAGCGTAAAACTAAACTCACTCACTCACCCTTCTAACAGTACCCTGAACCTTATCTAAAGGTACCTTGAACAGCATGTGACAGAACATTGAATCCAATTCCAACATTGCGTTGAATCTAATCTGACACTACATTGAATCGTATTTAAGCGGAAACTGAACCCTATTTCACCATTACCCTGAATCCTATTTTACCATTACCCTGAATCCTATTTTACCATTACCCTGAATCCTATTTCACCATTACCCTGAATCCTATTTCACCATTACCCTGAATCCTATTTCACCATTACCCTGAATCCTGTTCGTCCAACACATATATTCTAACCGACAGTAATTGAATCTTATCCAGTGCCATGAATCCTATCTTCAAAAGAAGCATTCAACAAGCCTTTTGTTGAGTAAGTGACATTTCTTATCGGTGTATAAACAAACTTGTTGACTCGCCATCTTATGTTGGACCCCCTCGGCCGGGGTTATATATAAACCAGTATTTACTCCATACAACTATTTGTGTTACGTATTGTGGCCAGTGGCTAGTAGCTGACCACAGGGGGTGGTCTGTGTGTCAGTAGGGTATTCATGGAATTGTAACAGTATGCGGTTGTAAATAGCACCGCACTCGGGAGGAGAGGTGCTCAATGAGTACTGTCATTGTAATAAATCATATTCTGGGCGGAAGTACATTCACCTTGTGTGTGTTACTGACTACTGTATACTAAATGCGGGCTACACTTTTATGGTTTCTTAAAACAGCGAAAATTCGTTTGTCGTCCAAATGGAGGGTCGAACATTACATTATTATATTTTGACTGTTCTGATAGCCTTTAACGGCATTGTATCAAACATAGGCGGATCCAGAGGGGGGGTGCAGGTGTGCGCACCCCCCATTTGTGCTGAAAGTTTGTTAAATGACCATTGAAACTCGGGTAAAAATGAAGTGTGCACCCCTCCTTTTCTCAATAGTGTGCACCCCCCTTTCTCAAAAAGCTGTATCCGCCCCTGTCAAAACAGATTTGTCTCAAGTCAAAACATTGATTACACAACAGTCTCGTTTCCTGTTGACTGGGTCCCGTCCTATTGCGCAACTTAGTACAATAGCCAGTCCAGAAATTTGGGACCAATTCATTTAACTGGATGCATATTTATTAATCAGTATTATTTGATACATCTAAGCACTTGTATATTGCAACACTACGCTCCTTCTAATCCTTGAAAACACGTCGTGCAGCGTGGTCTGTCGCACAGCGAACTCGGACAAACGGAAACCTGGAAATCGTGGAAATCTCAAAACGAGGCTCTCCCGCTAGAAAATATTGGCGGTCTGGTACGGACTTGATATTATATCAATCATGTAGACTCATGTTTCAGTTTGCAGGTTTTTTACATACTTCTTGTCTGAAAAATAATGTTTGGTGGTGGGAAAATGATTATTTGTATTCATATAGAACTTCCTAATGTAATTGTGCGGTGGGGTAGCCTAGTGGTTGAAGCGTTCGTTTGTCACATTGAAGACCTGAGTACGATTTCCCACATGTGTTCAACATTGAAAGGTTTCTGCTGTCTCCCGCCGTGATATTGCTTGAATAGTGTTAAAAGCGGCGTAAAACTCCTCACTCCTGAATGAACTCAGCCGGAATGTGAAGTGTCCGAACTAACGTGGTCCCGACTGTTCGGTATACATTGTTTAAAGGAGAATACGAACGAAAACAAAATTTTTGATATATTGTAAACGTTATTATAAAAGTCACATTCCGTGATTAAAATTGAACAAAAAGTTTGTAAAATAGCAATAAAAACACAAAAACGTACTCGTATTTCCGCCAATTACGGAAACACCCGACAGTTAATGAGCAGAGGGGGGTATCACGTGACATGACGTCATATGTGCCTATTGCTGATGGCTTCTTCTTTGATTTTACCTCACAACTTAACAGTGTCCATGGATTCTGAAGCAGTAAAAGATGTTCCTGATGTCATTTCTGAAATGGATGTTAGACCGTATCAATACGATCCGATTTTACATCTTGCAAGACAATCTTCCACTGAAGATGAAGAAGAAGAATCAAGCGAAACGAATCTATCTAGCGAGACAGGTATACGATATGAGGGGCGTGGGGAATGAAATATAGCTATATCATATTGTGTAACTTTCTTATACAATGAAATATATCACCTTAAAAGTAGGGGCAGTGGGGTAGCATAATGGCTAAAGCGTTCGCTCATCACGCTAAAGACCCGGGTTCGATTCCCCACATGGGTTCAATGTGTGAAATCAATTTCTGGTGTCCCGCGCCGTGATATTGCTCGAATATTGCTAAAAGCGGCGTAAAACTAAACTCACCTACTCATCTAAACGGCATTAAACGACGATGACAGTTGCAGCTCAGGGCGTGAGATAAGGGGGACGTCGTTGTGACTGTGTTTATAACTGCTGTACTTCCATGAAGATGGCAGTCTGGACGTGCTTTATTTGTACAATCATTATATGACCAGTTGAGACACAGAGCTGACGGGACGGTGGGGTAGCCTAGTGGTTAAAGCGTTCGCTCGTCACGCCGAAGACCGGGGTTCGATTCCCCACTTGGGTACAATGTGTGAAGCCCATTTCTGGTTTCCCCCCGCCGTGATATTGCTGGCACATTGCTAAAAGCTGCGTAAAACCATACTCACTCACTCACTCACTCACTCACTCAAAGAGCTGACACATACATACTTCACCTAAGACTCAAATTGCTGTTGGGGGTGAATATGATGAGTTATCTCCCTTTACTGGAGTGCCCGTAAATGGCTGTGACATACGTTAAATGTTTGGTATGCTGTGTGTGTTACCGACATCACTGAGGCAGCACGTTGATAAACATATATTTTAGAGGACTGATAATTAATGAGATCTGAACAAGAGTTCAAGAGATGCAATGGATTTCCATATTTAATTACAACTACAGATCTATAACAGAAAATTACCAATACCCAGCACACTACTACACCAGTTACCAATTACAATAATACGCAAAACCTCCAATGCATGTCACTAACTCACCATAACTCTTAACTGGTACCTATTCAGCCAAACATATCTCACCAATACGCATCACCAGCCAAACGTATCTCACCAATACGCATTACCAGCCAAACATATCTCACCAATACGCATCACCAGCCAAACATATCTCACCATTACGCATCACCAGCCAAACATATCTTACCAGTACGCATCACCAGCCAAATATATCTCATCAATACGCATCTGACAAATACACATCTAAACGCATCTCGAGCCAAACAATATCACACATTGCATCCATATGGGTCTTCGGCGTGACGAGCGAGCGCTTTGAACCACTAGGCTACCCATCGTCCCGTCATAGATAAAGAGCTAGACAACTGTGATTTTGTAGTCTGGTCTGTACTTAATACTTTATTAATCCATGAGGTATATGTTTGTCATTTCTGTTTCTAGATAACGAGCGGACTGTGTTGCAGTCCCAAACCTGGGTGCTGACCGGGACGTCAGAAAAAGGTGAATATTTGGATGATGTGCTCGGACTGTTATTTATACACAAGTCAGACTATATACAAGAGTTTCCCTTCACCGATAGAGAGAATGTGTAAATATTAACAGCTAACATACCTAAAGCTATAATACCTATTAAGCTGTATCCTTCCAACCTGTTGCCCATGTTTGGAGTATTGTTTCATTCGGTTTTACTAAAATGAACTCATATGTTTTTTAACCGTGCACGTAAAATATTTCCTACTTCTTTTTGTAATAAGATATATGAATAAGCAAATAAAAATTCGATCTACCCACATATAAGGATAAACAAAATAGTCTTCTTAATATTTTTTAAATTTATATTTTCTAATTCACAATTCTCTTCCAGTGGGTTACTTATCAAAGTACCCCTTCCTGCATACGCCACATGCGAATGTCCTGGCTTCTCTGTCTATTGTCTTTGGAACGGTAGGGAAGCCTAGGTTTTAAGGCGTTCGCTCATCACGCCGAAGACCCGGGTTCGATTCCCCACATGGATACAATGTGTGAAGCCCATTTCTGGCGTCCCCCGCCTTAATATTGCTGGAATATTGCTAAAAGCGGCGTAAAGCCATATTCATTCACTCTATTGTGTTACCAGTCTCTAAGCCGTCACCTGTTTTCGTGCATCCTGAATTAGTTTCACCCATATTGTATAATGAAACCTTGCATGACTTACTCAATGAAGCCAAATAACAAGATGGCATATTACGAACACCATTCTGAATTAAAATGAACATACGGCAAATAATACGGACGAATTGACTTATAAACAATCCACATTTAGCCGAGTAGGGGTGAGGTTTTCAAGTTATGTAATTATGACATATGTAGCTACGTAAAACCCATGGAAGCGCCCCTACTACAGGCAGACTGCTCTGATCAATATGTCTAGAGTAGGGTGAGCGCAACACAAGGGTTACCGCCAGCACAAGGCGGGTTTTATTACCAGTGCTGCTAAGACGGGTGTTCAGCAAATCTTTAGGACTGAATAGAGTTGCCCCATATTGACCAACAAATCAATTATGTCTTTCAGGTAACTTGCATGCAAGATTGTTACGTCAAATGGAATTATACCAAGGCCTTGAAGTAACACTACGTCCCACACGCACTGAAAACATGGTAGTGTGCCGGCTCAATTGAACACGTTCTATATACCCTACTCAATACAGCTGATCAGCCTATTATATAGCCTCGCCGGGGCACAATGCGCATGCGCATCATGCGAGCAGACGACAGCGATCATTTGACGAGTGACAGTGTAGAAGCGAGCACCTCGCGACGAGGAAGTCTAGCAAGCTCGCGTTTACCGGGTGGATTGTCGACCGGTGTTAATCCTAAGGCAAATCGGAGAGGGAGTGCGGTTACGTTTGACCTCCCAGATGATTCGGATGAAGAAGAGGGGAAGTGTCGTCGAAAGAGTTGTGCTTATCGAAGGATGAGCGCTCCTGAGCTCCCTCCTATCGCGGACCGGTCGGATTCCAGAGGTAACCGGACATCGTCAGGTTCCATAACTGAAAGGTCTAACTTTTATCAGAGATTCAAAAACGGTCGTTTGCCACGGAACCACAGTGATAGCTCCATTAAAGGCATATTAACCTGTTCTCCTAACAGCCAGTCTTCCTCGTCGGTGAACTCCATCCCGTCAGCTCATCCAGGTTATCTTTCCTCCAAAACACGATCTTGGTGTGATACTGATAAGAGTGCTGGCTCCACCACGAAGCTCGGGACCCTGTTCGAGAGGAAGCCAGGGAGTCCTAAGAGGGAGAGTGTATCAGGGTACAGATCAACGTCCACGGACAGGGGACTCACCAGAAGCCAGTACAGGATGGAGAGTGAATTAAACAACAATGAGGAGGAGATATTTTCCATAGAAAAGGATAATATTGACAACAAACGAGCTTTGCTGAGAAGGAACTATTCTGAAAATGAACTTACAACCAGTAACAAGAGGAAGAGCTGGCAGCTCACCAAGAATACTTTGTCGGTGGGAAAAACGGACAAGCTTACCAAACCCAAGCTTAAAAACGGATATAACAACACTTTGAAGAGATTCAATTCCACCCCGGCTATAAACGGAACAAATACATCTCAAGGATACCCTGATCGGGTAAGCGAGGAGTTAAAGAACAGACAATTGCAAAATGGAGAGGATTCCGAGAACGAGACAGAGAGGTTGGAGAGGATATTTGAATGGTTGAGGGGGGTTCAGTTTGATGCTGAGGAACCACCCGAGCAGGTGATTGATTACTCTGATGACCCTCCGCAAACTGACACAGCTGTACATATTGTGTATGGCGAAGACTGACCAGTTATGTCCATAGTGTTTGTGTTTTGTAACTGTGTTGTGTCCAAATGCTTCTTCTTGAGGATGAATTATCCGAACAATCCATGATGGGACGGAGTCGCAAGGGTCGTATTCGTCAAAAAATGTCTGTCAGGCTCCTGGGTAGTTGGTACGAGTTAAACCTTGCTACCCAATGTCAGAGTAGCAACAGAAGGATTCTTTGGAAACAGGTGTTCAGAACACTAGCCAAGGGCTACGCTGGAAAGGTGTCTTTCGTGGAAATAATACTGACTGTAAACGATTCCATCCTTTATCGACTTTGATCCTCGATGGAGCTATCAATGGTAATGTTTTCCTATGTGTTAATGTTTTGACGATACCGTTAAACGAATCAAACTTTTGAAGGATAATTAACACAAGAGTATTTATTTGACCATGATACGTAGCCCCTACATATGTCTGTGATACTTTCATCCTCGGTGTGCAAGGACCTATTTCAGGGAAATACATGAACGTGTGTGTCTGTGATAGTGAAATGGACAACAGGGTTGATAGAGGGAGTGCTAGTGACTGAACGGTTCCAGAGTGGACATCGTCCTGTATCTGTCTTGTGACCTCACTATCGTATTCTGAGATTTGAAACTTTTCTGTCAAGTGTCCTGGTTCCTGCGTGTGCCTACTGTCGTTCCGCCTTGTGATTCAGCAAATCAGCCTTGGTGGCAAAGCTCTATGTTATATAAACTTACCGGGACGTTACAACTGGAACAATGTCTTTCACCCAAGCGAACCTTCCAGGTTCTTTTTCAGATGGATGGTTCAGACACGCCTTACTCTGAGCATTCCTTGGATGGTCAGTCGTATCAACTCCATGGAGAGGTAAACACGATATATCAACACCATACCCCCCTGCCCCACTTACTCTCTTCCCGAAATCCCCCTTTAATTCCAGTACAAAGAGCTGAAGTAGCAGGCAATCACCCACTCAAGCAAGTCATAGTTTGTATGAAAGTCATGGCTAATGGCTAGATCTGATTACCTCGTACAAGGCTTTGCCATCCAAGAATATCACAAAAAGACACGGGGAAGGAGAGCACCTTTGACCAATCCCACTTTCTATCGGCTTCTTAAAACATTCGATCTTCTATATGCATTTTTATTATTTGTGTAGTATGTTTACCAAGGACTACGTATATAAACTCACACTTACTGTACCGGTTTCCCTATTTGACGGGTTTATATTGGATTTTCACATATTTTCTGAACGACCAAATTTGAATAATCTTTAAGTGATAAGCATAAAACTAATTCTTGTTAACTTGGTTACATGTATTTTTTAATATCTGTGAATTTGTAGTATTGTGTCGAAACCACGGAAGTCCTTCTCTTGTAAATGTATTGTTTGTGAATGGTTTGTGGCAGTTTCAAATCTAGTCAAAGATAACACGTTTACCTTTTGTATGAAAATGTCATATCTGAAACTGTTTGTTGTACGATCTTTTATCGTAGATTATTCGACACGTCCGGTTTACAAGTGCATCTCCTACACAAACACATCATGAGTGTTGTCGCTCTGTCGAAACATACGCATTCCATAAACAGATATAAACATCGCAACAATAAAAGATAAACACTGCTTTGTGGGGTGTGTTTATATACCAGGCGGGGGGACACTGTCAGCGTTCAGGTATGAACTGTTGGTCTATTTATGAGGCATGTTGTTAATACGCTAGGGTTATATTTGAACATGTTTATTTGACATCGTTACGGGGATTGTAACGAACAGGATGTGTATGCGTCGTAATGTCAACCAACCCGCGGTTGCTGTTTTGGTAACATATAAATAAGGTAGATTTATTTATGTTATTGAACTGAGAGATTATCATGTTTGACTTACTTGGATTATATTCCCCAAATCACTTTGGTGATGAACGAACGAAGAAAGTCATTTGCAATGCCCTGTTTCTCGAAATTATAGAAGTGATGCAGTGCCTATCTATCTTCTTTAGGTCCCCATTTTTTGTATGTTTTTTTTTAAATTTGTCGAACATCTGTTTCAAACGCCCTGTGCTGAAACATCAACATGTTGAAAAAATCCCAGGTTCATACATTATGCACTTCAGGTAGCATTTTAAGAAATGTGTTGTTTCTTTCGTATGGAACTTCCCTTACTTAATAACATGTGATAGTGCCTAATATCCAGATATTCACCACGATAAGGGCCCAGTGTTATGCACATATCGAGCATGTTTGTCATAAGTCCTTGATCCAACTAGAACACGCTTCCAGAGAATGCCAGGGTAGTGATACTTTATAGGATATGGATAATATAACCCCTCACCCTCACGGATCTGGTTCAGTACAATTTAAAACTAATACATTATTAGGCTTAAGACACGCCATGGCTCAGTGGCGTTCATGATCAACCTCCTTAGAAGGTAGACAAGCTGAATTGAATGACTCAGGCCTTACCTTTAGTACTGTTAATTTAAATATTTGGAAATAATTACATGACAGGTTTAGAAAACCAACAGTGACGCTCATCAAAACGTGCCCCAAAGCAAACCTCTCTAATATGTTTTTAGATAAAACATTAGGTCAATTTTTTTATATAATTCTCATGAAAATAGCATTAAATACGTTCATGATAATCAAGACCCGTACAAATTCTAAGAAAAACAAACTCGACAAATAATCGTAAGAAATATATGTATGTATGTTCATGTATGTATGTTCATGTATGTATGTATGTATGTATGTATGTATGTATGTATGTATGTATGTATGTATGTATGTATGTATGTATGTATGTATGCATGCGTGTGTGTGTGTGTGTGTGCGTGCGTGCGTGCGTGCGTGTGTGTATGTATGTATGTGTGTGTATGTATGTATGTATGTATGTATGTATGTATGTATGTATGTATGTATGTATGTATGTGTGTACATGTATGTATGTATGTATGTGTGTGTATGTATGTATGTATGTATGTATGTATGTATGTATGTATGTATGTATGTATGTATGTATGTATGTATGTATGTATGTATGTATGTATGTATGTATGCATGTATGTATGTATGTATGTATGTATGTATGTATGTATGTATGTATGTATGTATGTATGTATGTATGTATGTATGTATGTATGTATGTATGTATGTATGTATGTATGTGCGTGTGCGTGTGTGTGTGTATGTATTTCCTGGTATTTCTCGCAATGTATTCGGGCTTTTTATACACCGCTCTTTCGCCTGACCCCACACTACCGGGCCCTCAAGGCGTGAACACGTCTGTAGGCGAAATGACGTCACCCATATCTATGTATTTCACCTTATTACATGCAATCGTTGGCTGTTTGACAACTCGCGGACGGCGGCCACATGATACCGGCATGTTTATGTAATATTAGTCTGGGGGTGGTCATGACACAGGTATGTAACTCAGCAGATTATAGAATTAGCCATAATAACGCCTTCAAGTGCCAATTTCAAGTCAAGCATGAAATTCTATTCGAGGCCATTACAAAGACCATTCGATTTGGAATGTCATTAAGACTCTTCGTTTTGTTATAAGTCGTTTGTGTAAAAACAGCAGAAAAAGGTAAATGTGGTTTTAAATTTGTTTGAACTTAAGTTATTACGCGATAACTCCCACAAGAGATTGCCGTGCAAGACGTAAGGGAAAGTGTGTGTTATTCCATTAATCATTTTCATGTCTATTGGTATGCGTGGTTGATAGCAATCTCGGAGTATACTATGACGTCAACAGGGCTGTAGCATGATGAATGGCGTTTAAGCCAGATGTAGTGGAATGGGAAGTTGCAATCGTAAATGTTTCTCGAGTACTGCTGTACCTACCTAGGCATAACCGCAACTTAATCAATATGAGCCATCAGGGCAAATAGTACCTAGCCTTGACTATCCTCAGAAATAGATTCGATTTAGTATAAATGGCACAATAACCGTGAAAATGGTATGAATGGACCACAGAACATCAGATATGACACCAGGTGTTTACGAAAGGGTAAGCATATCCTTCCTTACCGGTAGCACCCGGTTGCACATTTGGTGCAACCGATGCTGACGGCAGGCGTCATGCTAGCCTCCAGAAGATCGGGAAGCATACATGTATGTTATGGATGTGCAAATGGCGACTGCTTGCGGTGACCCCCACCCAACCCCTATATACCCGCCTAGGTCACGATGTACCTCGGGTATCGGCTGATCAAGGTCTGTGAGGCACTAGGCCGTGTTGTAATCAATGCGGGTTCGCCTTGTGTGCCAGTACGCTAGTCACCGGTCGCTAGTTACCGTCAAGAGCTGTTGTGGCTGTACCGTTCTGCTGTGGGATTAATTGTGTCAGGCAAGCTAATAAAGCTGATTTCTTTATGTCAAACCGCAATGGAGACGGTATCAGGCGTTGGAGGCGTGATGGGAAAGTACAACTTGTTATTGATTTCATCAAAACCCATTGTCTCTATATTGCTGCCTTCTTGAAAATAATTATGACCCTCGACAAAATGGTTTTAGATTAATCATGTGCTAATTTAGGGCGAGTTCAGTAAACCAGTTAAAATGTTCAAAATTTTATTGTAGTCACTACCACATGCCTTTGGACATATATATTACTTAAAAGAAGTTAAGGATCACTCAGTTCTTTCATATTGCTATGACTGATCTGTCTCGTGACAGCTAACTATTTTAATATGAATCAAGGGTGGAAATAACCCATTGCCCGACGCCCGATTCCAGTGTTTTTTTCTGTCGGGCAAGCAAATTTGTATATCACACTGTACCGGTGTCCAGTTGATATTCCAATGTTAATTATGTTGTTTATTTAAAAAATCAACAAGAAATTTTTAAAACGGCCGGTATAGTGGAAAAATTATCAGGGCAAGTGATTTTAACATGTGCCACTGTACCGGAGTACACTAACAATTGTAAAGTTATTTCCACCCCTGCTGAAAGAATCGGACCTTCCTTAACTTCTTTCGAGTGTTATATTTATCAGTTCCTGGGAAAACGTTAATCAAAGGGCTTAATCACAGACAAACGTCGCTAACTGTACTGTCCACAACCGTCATTGCATCGGATTAGGTTAAGAACAGAATCAGACACAACTTACCAGAAACAGCGTAACAATTCCTTCAGACATTAACATTATCGAAACTCTTTGATCTTAGGTACTGTGTTCTATGTCGAAAAAGTAGCCGACGGTTGTCATGATAGAAATGTCAACCTGACATCAACTATCATGTCAGTTTCAACCCGTCCTTAATCCCGCTTTCATCTGCCCTGATCTTGCATGGCTTAAACCAATATTTGTTTCTTTACAAGTCTACCTTACAGGTTCTTTTGAACTGGTTTGATTTACTGCTGATGTTTCAACAAGACACATTACCACTATTCGAGAGTAAACAATGTTCCACGGCTAGCGCGATATGACCTTTCTTGAAGTTGCTGCATCAAGTATTTGGTATTTTATTATATTTGCACTAGACACGTTTCAGGAAGGTGTTTGACAGTTTCAAGTCAGTCTGTCTGTTAAAGTGTCCTCCAGAGATAATAAAAGTGGCCAGGGTGTCCTTGACTTGTTGGGTCATCGACCTTCAAAGGGTTGTCATATACAGCGGAATACTGTTAATCCGGATGATACCCGAAGGAAAACGCCGGGATGTACAAAAAGTTGGATTCAAGGAATCAAATGATTATGAGTACGAGCTGTTAGATTAACGAGGTTTCTATGTACATAAGGAAGAGAATGTGGAGATGTTTCTTATAAGCGCTAATATTCCAAAGAAATCTGACCTGAATTTTAAATCTGAAATCCGAAATTCTCACACTCGAAAAGAGCATTTGAAATTATTAATTTTGTACTTATGTTTTAGCCCAAGGTTTGACGTTCCATGATACCGGCCCTTTCAGTGCATTCCCTTGTTAACTCATAACAAGAGGTTTAATAGCTAATCAAACTAGAATGCCATGTAGCTCACTGGGACATTAGTCTTACGCGTTCCCCTAAATTTATAATACTCATTTAGTAGAGAACGTAGAAAATGTGGCATGCATCCCTGTGACAGTTTAATGTGTGTGGCGTATTGTGAGAGAAAGTTTCATTGACATAGAAATGACAAAATATGCCGATGACAGTTGTTGATGAAAACTGATGAACACATTTAACCGTATTTGTTGCACACGTCTCTGTCCTGAAGGCGACAGGAGTTGCCCAAGCAATACAATGACATTGAACACTGACATTAAACCATGCCATTTAATACAACGTCACTTCACACTATGTCATCATACAAATGTCATTTGATACGTGTCATATCCTGCATGCACCTGTAAAACATTGAGGTATCATACATGTTCCCTTACTTTATTCCGTCAGTATAATAAGAATTTTTACATGCCTGGAAATTAGTGGACGTACGTGAAAAGAAAGATTGTGTCACTATCGTTGTATGATGACTGTGTATGT